ATCCAGTCCAGATGGTCACCAACAATCAATAAATGCTTCGTGTAGTCAATGACAATGAATGTTCACATGCATTAAATGAGCCATAGTGCTCTCTCAGCCCATGTTAAACATGATAAAAATGATGAATGTTGAATCACGCAGCCTGGTCACATAACGTATGTGTCAGATCAGTAACTCTCACATAGTTTGACGTTGTCCAAAATTGAACTCATGTTTTTGATACTGTTCATCCATGCAAGGTTATTTCTCGGAGATAATAACAATTATGAAAATGTATTTTGCGAAAGGTGACTAAAAATAAATGTTCAGTTTGTTCTTTTTTGAAGGTAATACTTTATGGGATGCAACTAACAGAGTAAAGTATTTATTTGATAATAGATGGTTAGATGAACGTACTCGAGGATTGTTTGTAGAGTTTACACTCTACAACCCACATGTCAACCTTTTTAGGTAAGTGATAAATGCAATTAAATATGGTTTTGAAAAGCGTGCGCCATTTTAAATGAAATTCACTTTACTGATAAAAACATGTAGCTCACGGAGTGATAAAACAAAATGATTACACACTCTGTATGTATTCGCTTACATGAAACGCATTTGTAAAAAGTTCACTAACTTAATATTACCAGTAGATCGACAGGAACACGCGGGATTCTTGACGAAATATAGAAATATTATTCAGCCAAATGCATATGGATATCATTGGTGATATATATTATATATAGGTGGATATTTCCTTTACACCCGAGAAAATGTCAATAGCAGCGCTCAGAAAACTACTAATTACATCTATGCAAACATCCAGATGACTGTAGTATATGTGCCTAGACGTCTCGGTGATAGTTGAATAATGGGCCAGCAACCTAAGAATTGTCTGCATTTTATGTTCGTTCGTTCAAACACAATAATGTCATGCTGAAGCAAAACGTATTGATAAAGCCTCTTTTATAGTTTCAGACAGTTCATTGCCGTAAAACTAAGGATCCCTAATCATTAGTTCTTGACGAAGTCCGAAAAAAGGGGGCTAATATTTTGGGTTCCATCCGATTATCTGCATGTCCTGTCGTACATTCAATGTCCTAGATATGCCTGGATATTTAATGTTAGTAAACAGACAAGTCTGGCGGTCATGTTTGTTCAAATAATTGTTGACATCACACAAGTGGATTACTGATGACCATAACCTTGTGGCAGCGGATGTTATCGTTTTACTGGGATGGACATCAATCAATGATGGGTCACCAATGCATGTTAGTTGGTTTAAGATTTGATTTGATGATTTTATTTATTGCAATTTATCTGATACTATTTGGTGATTTTGTTTTTAGATTCAATAAATTTTTAAATTTGTCTGACATACTTAAACATTTTTGTTTAAATTTGACACAAAAGCAGAGGTCAATGTGAACAATAACATTCCAGACTTTAGTGTATGTGATTATTTTTCTCTCACCACCACCTAATGACTTAATTGCTAAAATTAAATTATTGAAGATTTTCCCAATTCATTTTCCAGTATGTTCACGCTTCTTTTGGAATACCCAACCACTGGAGGGGCTCTGATCTACGCAAAAATCGACGTACTCCGTCTCTATAACTACGTAGGCAGCATGACTGTAGTGGTGGCTGCATGTGAGGTACTATTCATCATTATGTTAATTTATTATATGGTTAAAGCTCTAATGGATATCAGAAAACAGAAGAAGAAGTATTTTGTGAAATTCTGGAACTTGATTGAGGTAAGTCTCTGCTATTACCAAATCACGACGTAAATCATAAACCACTTAAGTAGAAATAGTCTAACCAACTGCTACTGAAGGTTGTATAGTTGTATACAAGTCGGCTGACAACACTAAAAACAATCCACATAACAACTAAAAAGTACACCACATAACGCAGTTACGTTTAGATGTTATTCAGTGAGGGGAAAATATGAATCACTATATTTAAATCAAGCATTAACCATCATTACCTGCTTACCCAAAATGTGATAAATATACTTTTCAAATTGTATAACTATATTCTTGTCAACAGTTTTAATTGAATTAGGTAACCTCATATACAAAATTTGAATTATAATGGGTTTTATGTGAATGTGAAATTGGTAATTACTATTATCACTGGTTGCATGTATACGAATATACACTGATTGTGATTTCTCTGAATTCATTTGACTGATATAATATGCATGTTGTTTTTATTTCAATTTTAATTTGAGATGAATATTCATAGTCGAACACTTTTTGAATGTTTTAATGTTTCTGTTAGAAGCCAGAAATGTCTTCCTACAAAGTTATTTTTTTTTGAAAAATAAAAATACAATCTTGTATTCTTAACAAATATGTATAACCTGCGATAAAGTGTAAGATAAGTTGGAAAACAATTACCGTATTTGCTATATTGAGAGACATACACTTAATAAGAGTGATGTGTCGATAGTTAATATAAGCCATATTTTAATCTATTAGACGCTTATGCTGTTAGAATTTTATCTAAAAAATGGGGGTAGATCAATCAATCTGATTTATCTGAACTTGCATTTTAGGTATTCAAGATTAGTATGTGTATACTGGCTTTATCGATGAGAGGTTACAAAGCACTATTTTTTGATCTAGCATTGGAAGAACTGTCCGCTGATGATGGTAAGTACAGTATGTCTTAATATAATAAGTACTTACTAAAAGTCGACTGGCAGTTCTAGAAACCTACAGCCAGAACGTGTTCTACAAGGGCACAATTGATAAAAGCCAATGCTAGATAAAGGTTTTCATTCTACTTATGAGAGTCTGGTTGTGTGCCAGTTAATTCCTACCAATTCAAGTGAGAGTTTGGTTTATGTGGGGTCTGACAAAACTTCTTAGCCCACTGGTCCATGTCATGACCCTCTACCCAGGTTTGATGGGTAGGGGTTAGACGATGGGTACTCCATTTTTGAGGTGGCTGGGAACATCCGATTCGCTGAGATAGTCTCGTCTCTGCAGAGTGATTGAAGAATCATTGTTTTCTCTAATACACTGTTGTGGTTAGGAGAGACTTCTTAATCAGTCTGATTCGACGGAGAGTACAGCCACAATATCACGAGCACTTGTAGTGATGTACTTCTTTTGGCCTTGAACAATTTCCATAACTACGACAGCTTCTCAGCATTCTGGATGTAGACGTATTAGACTCACTGCTGTGTCCAGCTTGATCCTTAAACACATCAAGGTCTGTATCCATGTGCTGAAACACCTAATCGTCGGAATACTAGTATTGTTTTGGGGTACAATGCTGCTAAATATTCTTGGGTCACCATTGTAATAACGGACTTTGGTTATGTATGGATTTAATTTCACAGGATTTCGGATCATTCAAAAACTGTCATTTGTCCTGTCTTTGTTAACACTGGCTAATCATGTATAGTCTAGAGTTCTTCCCGAAAAACTAGTATGTGTGGCACGGCCCTAGACTATGTTAGACTTACCTGGGTTGACATTAACCTAGTGCTTGTCGTCATCGTATGCGGTAAACTGAACCACAACTTTTTTCAACAACAATCATTTATTTCAATATTCAACTCGCTTTCTGTGATTGTCATTCATTTCATTGAACTTCATTGCACAAACATGTATGGTATCCATATTGCTATGTTACATAGGGAACTTGCTTAAAATGTCAATTAGTAAATAGCAACATGTATATGCGTTAATTCATTACAGTAATTATACATTGAACTACAAAAGCTTTTTGCAACATGGTCAATTTTATTTCATTTTAATTGTTTTAAGATATGCCTATGATTCTGTGAATAAAAAAATGTTCACTGTTCTTAAAGCGGGGGAGTCGTCACCTGCGCATGCGTCAGATGGCCATAGCGTGTCATTGTTTACAAACTAGCGTCTACCCAAGAAACTTTGCATTTTTAGCGTGTGTTGTTATCGTCACTCGGGACTCAATTCCCGCGCCCCCGCGCATGCGCAGGTGACGACACCTTCGCTTTAACTTTATTTGACTCAACTGCATGTAATATTATTATTATTATATTGTCTTCAAAAATACACCTAGATTAGAGATTTATGAGAGAATTAGACATGGTGGAAATTAGAAATACTGTCATCTATATGACAAAGTAAATAGCGACAATCAATATTTAGAAATTAAACATTACTCTTACAGGTGCTACAACTTTCATCAATTTACAACAAATGGCTGCATATGACGAAGCGTATGGTTACGTAATTGCTTCGATTGTCTTCTTTGGAACTCTTCAGTTTATCAATTTAATGAGGTTCAACGCACGTATGGCTCTACTATCAACAACATTGAAGGGTGCGGTCAAAGTGTTAGCCAATTACGCTATCATTTTTTATATCGTGTTTTTCGCCTACGGCCAGCTCCTCTTCCTGACAGTCGGGCGGGTTCTTGAATCTTATCATACGTTCTTCACGACTATCAAGACTCTCTACCTCATGTGGCTCGGTCATTTCGATTACGCCGCGTTGGAGTTTGCGAATCCAATACTTGCGCCATTGGTGTTCTTCACGTTAATGTTGTTCGTGTACGCAATCTTAACAACGTTGTTCGTCACAGTCATCGTATGGCAATACGAATGGGCCAAGGAACTGACTGATCAACAGAGCAATGACATTGTGGACTTTATGTACTGGAAGTTTATGACATTGGTTGGAATGAATAAACATGCCAAGAAGTATGATCCATGGATTGAGAAGGAAGAAGATAACGATGACGTAGAAGAAGAATGTGACGGCACAAAGGAGAAGGAAAATGGTACGTAATGTCTGAAAATAATGTGTACATACATTTCGGTCGGTAGAATGTACACCACGACCAGTTTAGTGTTATTTGTTTGTTACACGTGGCTGTGAGTGTTGCAATAACGCATGCTGTGTGACACTGGGTAATCAGAAATACACACCACGTTGATACCGGTACAGGCAAAATAAATATGTTATAGCTTTCTAAAGATGTATTCATTATTAGCTCCACTGTCGACTTTGTCGGGCGGAGCTTATCATATGAGTGATTGTCCGTCGTCGTCCGTCGTCGTCCGTGTCAATGTTTTACTTTTTCTGAAAACTACAAGTCTGAATGCTTTGATACTTGGTGTATATGTACCTTGGGTAGACCTCTCTTAGATTTGTTCATTTCATGATGATATCTTCAATTCTCTAATTTTGGTGAATATTTTTGTCATTTTTGGTAAAAAGTGATATTTTCGACTTCTTGCTAAAAACCGCAAGTCCAATTGCTTTGATATTACCTATATAGATACTACATGTAGACTTTTTTCAGATTTATTAATTTCGTCGTGATATCTTCAACTATCTGATTTTGAATGATTATTTTTGTATTTTTTGGTGAAAAGTGATATTTTTGAATTCTTTTGAAGTCCGGTTGTTTTGATACTATACATATTGTTCTCATTTTCTAATGATATCTTCAGTTCTTAATTGAAATGTGCATTCCTAACAGCGGAGCTATCTCAGCCGACAGACTGCTTGTTTTTTGTATACAAATACTAAACAAACGATAAAATACTTATTGGAATTATATAAGAAACCATGTGCGTGCATTTTCTTTTTAGCTTTCATTTGCATACAAAATTCGTATAAAAATATGTTAAGGTTTGTATTAGATTTGCATGAGAATATGATAAGAACCTTGTAGGAGTTTTATTAATCTTATAAGACACTCATGTGATTTCGTAATTGTCGGCGAGCTGTGCTGATTTTTGCTGTATATATTGTCCCAGTATTTTCTACAATAGCAAGTCTAGCTTAAACGCTTTTTATTTTTATCTCAGAAACCAAAGATGAAAAACCAAAGGAAACAACACAGTTGGCACCAAAGCCTAAAACTCGTCGCCGCAGACGTCTTTATAGACGCAAGGAGTTGCATGTTGCTTTCAAACTGCCGGCTGACACAGATCTAGACAATGGAGGTGTTAATAAGTATGGGTACGGAGAATTAGACGCCTTACAGGGGAGACTGGACTACATATTTGATAAGCTGCAAGGTGAGGACTCCGATGACGTCAAGAAAACCAATATGGGTCTACAAATCGCTATGATGCAGTTTGGTGACAAGCAACCCCGAAATCGGCGACCACCCCCAGCACGTAGTAGCAGACAAAGACAGTTCAACCCACGTGCTGAGAGCAAGATATAATTCAATAGCGCCCTCAAGTGACACCACATAGCCTTTATTCCGCCATTAGATTTACTTTTATTTCAATACTCAAGATATATGTACATTGCATTCATTATTTGTATTAGAGTCCCACAAGCCTGTATAAAAGACTCAATTACCGACAATACACTCAGATCTATATGTACGAGTGTAATTTAATTTTTGGGTTCAATCAATATTTCAAAATGTTTTTATATGACACTTACTTGTTGAACGCTTCCCAACGCATATTTATCTGTCATGAACGGAAAGTCATCTATAATCCTTCCATAGACACTACCACACCTGCGTAATTCTGAAGACTGAGCTTTTTGGTCCGAGAAAAAAAAAACTAGCTCTTTCATTTGTGTTGTTTTTCACTGTCTGAAAACCTTCTGAATATTAATTACATATGTAAAGTTTTGTTATATCATTCGTATAATAGAAAATAATAGAAAAATTATTATCTTTAGATGGATAAAAATAATTTCAACATTTTTGACAAAACACAGTGTGTTGCTTTTAATTTTAATTCGTTTAATAAATAATCCAAACTCTCATTTAATTGTCTGTGATGGGATTTAT